GGAGCAGGAGCAGGAGCAGGAGCAGGAGCAGATGGAGCAGGAGCAGGTGGAGTCGGGGAAGGAGCAGGAGCAGGAGCAGGAGCAGGAGCAAGAGCAAGAGCAGGAGCAGGAGCAGGAGGGGTAGAAGAAAAGGAAGCAGCAGGAGCAGAAGCTCAGGAGTAGACAAGAAGGAAAGGGAGCAAGGACAGGAAGGAGGAGAAGGAGAAAATGCACCCGAGCTCTGTGTAGGGGTTGATAGACATGATGAAAGGATAATTGACTGAGAACTCCTGCAATGAAAGTTCAGGCGGACAAAGATGGAGAGTAGACAGGACGAGGACGAGAAAAAGGATGAAGAGGACGACCAGGACACAAAGGAAAACCAGGAGCAGAAGGAGGAGCAGGACGAGGAGGAGCAGGATAACGAGGAGAGAATAGGAAATGAAGACGTAGAGGAAAAGGAAGAGCAGGAGCAGGAGCAGGAGGAGGAGGAGGAGGAGGAGCAGGAGGAGGAGGAGGAGCAGCAGCAGCAGCAGCAGCAGCAGCAGCAGCAGCAGGAGCAGCAGGAATATCAGCGATGGAACAGCAAGTGAGTATTCAAGATTTCGGACCTTCCAGACGTAGCAAAGTCCACACCAGCACCACAACCAGAGGATGGGCATGAAGAGGACTCTGAGGTGAGCTGAGTCAACACAGACAGAGAACACAGTGAAATCCGAGTGAGAGAGTGAAATGATGGGCAGTGAAAAATTGAAATGAGGAGGGGAGAAAGCTGAGAGGGGAGAAGTGAAAATGAAATGGAAGGAAAGTGAGTGGAGGGACAGAAGGGGAAGAGAAGGAATGGGACGATGGGCGAGAAGAAATGAGAAGAAGAGAAGCTGAAAGAACAAGATTGTGCTTGTTTGTGAAAGAAGCAAGATTTGTGCATGATCACCTGTACACAGGCACAGTTGTATCCAGGGAATCGAAGCAGTAAGGACATTTGTCCTGTCGCAAGAGATGGTCACCAAGATGAAAACAAGCAGATTTGAAAAATTCTGTATCTTTTGACGTTATGAGCATCATACTCCCCATCATGACCATGTTCAACGTCATCATCATGTTATCATCGTCGTCGGAGTCGTCATCGCCATCATCATCACTACCACCATCATCGCCTCCATAATCATCAACAACAGAAAGGAGAAACAACGACAACAACATCGTCATCGTCATCGTCATCTCCATCATCATCAACTTCACCATCAACAACATCAACAACATCAACAACGACATTTCCATCTTCATCCCCATCATGGTTGCTATCATCTCAATCATCACGGTCCCTTCATCTTCATATTCATCTCGTTTGTCATTCACCTTGGCCGGAAAGTATGTAGCAAACCTGACACAAGTGAACATCACTTCATCGCATCAACTTTCCATCCAGCGTACCACAAGATGACTATCAGACAGACAAGAGAAGCCCCGAGGTAGAAGCCGAGCCAGCCCTGAGAACGAGATGAGATGAAAAAGAACACGAGAACAACATAAGAATGAGAACAATAAGACTGAGAACAACATAAGACTGAGCACAATATGAGACTGAGAACAATATGAGACTGAGAATCTCATGTTGTTCTCATATATAAGCAAGAAGGTGCATGTGGTGGCAGCAAAAGGAAAGATAATATGACATGTGTCAAAGCAGACAGATCGTGGAAACAAGAAGATGCTTCATCATCATCATCATCATCATCATCATCATCATCATCATCATCATCATCATCATCATCATCATCATCATCATCATCATCATCGTCATCATCATCGTCATCGTCATCGTCATCGTCATCGTCATCGTCATCACAGGAGGTGTTCTAGCAGGCAAGGAACTCACCTGCGACTCAATGCCGAGGCTGTTTGCGAACAATCATGTCAGAAGAACAACTCATAGCAACCAAGACGAGAAGACACCGGTGGAGATGGCGGAGACGACGCTGCATCAGCATGTACATGTTAATGTGCATGTCGCAACAGGATGGAGACTTGCTGGACCTGAGCAGCGATAGTGTCGTTGGCGGTGAAGAGAGCGGCGTAACATTCCTCTACCTGTTAGGGATGAGAGGAGAGAGGAGGGAGAACTAGGGAGGAAGAGAAGGGAGGGGAGGGAGGGGAAGGGAGGGAAGAGAAGGGAGGGGAGAGGAGGGGAGGGAAGAGAAGGGAAGAGAGGAGGGAAGAGGAGAGGAGAGGAGGCAGGGGATAAAGATGAGCAGACGTGAGGAGAGGGAAGGGGAGAGGAGAGGAGGTGAAGTATCGTTTACCTGTTCTGCAACTTCTTCTACCCTGCTGACTCCGATGTGGAATGCCTTCACCACAGAAACAATCAGAACAAGGAAAAAGAAGAATCATTCAAATATAACCACGACACTACACTACGCTACAATGCAGTGCACAACAAAACAAGGAAACGATGCAAGAACAAAACAACACCATATAACAAGCAAACCAAGAGATTTTCACAAGTGTCTCACCTGGTCTTGTAGATTTACATTGACATGCAGTTGCTGTTGTTTCAAACCCCTTACCATCATCTTTCACAATCAGCAAAAGATACCTGTCCTGCTTGCTTGAGACTCTTGTTGTACTTTTTCAGCGCTTTTGAGAGGCCAGTGAAGTTCAAATCGCAAACCTGATATCAACATATATGAGGATGCTGGAAGAAAAAGGGACGAAATGAACAAACAAAAAACTCTGCAAAATTGCTACTGACTGCTCGATCTGCTACCAAAACAACAGGAAAAGGCAAGAAAAAACAAAAAGTCCGGAAACACGACAACGTGAGACAGGGAAGGGATAGACTGCAATATGAGAAGCAAGGAGTCATAGCACAACACAATCTTAGTCACGATCTTGCAGCGACAAGAAACAAACACTGCCGCACACAACATGAAACAACGTTTGTGCCTTACTTGTTTCAACGTCATGCAGTCCTGATACAGCTCGCGCAACATGAGCTGCATACTCTCTTTCTGTACAAAGCACAAAACATTACGATAGTAAAAAAGCAATTTTTTTTTTTCCAGAGAGATTCATCATACGCCAACAAGTAGGCAATCTTTGAAATGAGGGAGATGCGATGGTTTTCCAATCGTCAAGAGCCGTCCACATCAACGTTGGAATGTAGCCTTGAGTTCAGACACTCACTTGCAGAAGTCGCAGCTTGTTGTAAGACTCAGGATCAAGGGATCCTGCGCAAGCAAGGTTTCATTCCACCATCACTACAACAGCAGAAACACTGACCAAAACTCGAGCTCCGATCGCTCTCAGCTGCACACGTGCAACAGAGCAATGACAATGAGAAACATGTTACAAGCATGCATCATATCAGTGAAATATTCACCGTAAGTCCTCTGTGCCTGTTATGGTACACGTCACCATAACACAACCAACAAAGTCAAGTCGTCTTACCTCCATGATCATAAGGTCCCTCCTTTCCTCGATCTCCGACATCTTCCTGTCGAAACCTGCCAGCCCTCAACCCTCAACGAGACGGAGGCAGAGAGGAGCCGCTCCTCGACACTTACCCAGGTTGACAGCCTCGATCTGCCTGATGAATTCCTGCAGTCGACATGTCAGCGGTGCTGGGCCATCGGTCGAGGAGGAAGCTACATCTTGAAAACATCCGCCCGACAGAGGAGTAGACTCAAGCGCTTCCAGAGACAACCTGTAACGAGTTGTCACCAGCCACACAACGGGGCAAGGAGCAACAACTCTGTCGACTGCTCCCGTAGCTCGGCCTCCGCCTGATACAAGGATGTCAGCTCGGAAACTCGCAGCAGCTCCTCGGCACCTTGACGGCTCTTGTCAATTTCTTGTAATCGACGTAGTAATCCTCCCATCCCTGCCCGTCCATCGTCACATGCCGCCTACCCTCCAGCTGACCCTCTGCTGAGAGCCCTCCTGACCTTGACTCGAGAGGCCCGAAGGAACTTGCCGAACTTCATGGTACCTCAATCAGTCCTTGCACTTGTGAGATGCAGTTGGCTCGAGCAGGAGGCGGCTCTCAAGACCTGTACACCCGCTCCGAGGCCATGGCAAAGAAATCAAAACTTCGCTGGTCGGCGGGGCATCGGCGGCTCTGAAGAAGACTGTGCCCTGTTGTCGCTGAATTCTCGACTCCTGTAAATGGTATTGTTCAGCTGTCTTGTGCTTGTTTGTACTCTTGAGAACTCAGCTCTCACTGCCACATGCATCAACCGAGGAACTCTGATAATCTCCGCATGTCTACATCCAGCTAATCCTATGTCCGACTCCTCAATCATCGAATTCATCGTCCTGTTCTGTATCATTCATTGTCTGCATCATTTGCTCAATCTAAGACATCGTCATCGTCATCGCCATCATCTCCATCTCCAACCCAATCTCCATCACCATCACCATCACCATCGTCGTCACTGGCTTGATGTTCTACGTCATAAAATCCCATCCTTTCATAGCGCACAAACCCCTCCTGCACATCTAGTTTCATCCTCTCCTTTGCTGATCCGGCTGTCACTCCTGTTCAATGCTCCTTCTCTTGTCCCTGGTCTTTCTCCTCCTCCTCTCCTCCTCCTTCTCCTGCAGCGGCGGCGGCGGCGGCGGCGGCCCGCCATTCCCAAACACCGTTGCCCATCATTGCAGCCCTCCGCGATTCCTCACATTTTTCCATAGATCAAGATCTGAGTTAAATTTAAAGACAATTCCTCTAATTTAACACTAAAGTTGCTAAATAGCCAACATTATAGCTGAATAGATTGAATGTAGCTTACATTGCAAGTTCAAATAGGCAATAATCCAGTTAAATTTAACCGGAAAGTAGTTAATCTCTTACCCCCCCTCATGTCGACGAGTCGTCCGCCAATCAACTCAGGTCAGTCCGAGTCGGGCCCGGTAGTCGTTCCGAGTCGGGCCCGGTAGTCGTTCGGAAGTTCACATTATGGGAGACGGTCAGAAGTTCAATGGCAGGACTCGATGATCGGATAATGTGTCTCATCGGGCGAGTGGACGAAGCGGTCAGTATGGCTTAGGTCGGGATGAATTCCGACAACTCGGAACTGTGGTGTTGCAAGGTTGTACAAGTGTACAATCACGGGTGAGAACTACACACGGCGCGCGGCGATGATGGTGAGACGATTACAATGGTGTACTATCATCATCACTAGTTGTATCTGGCCAGTGATGTGCAGACTCGGACTCAGTGATTCGAATCTCGCAGCTGGGACTCAGGACTCTCGGAGTCACCGGTGGCCCGGCGTCACTGAATCGATGACCGTAAATCTTCGAGACTCGGTCGCATCCTTGTCATGTTCGATCAGTTCAAGTTTACCGGATACTGACCGTCAGTACTGTGACAAGAATGTTTCCCAACAAGTTTGGCACTTCACACAACTTACACATACTCTGTTGGTAGTGACCATACGACTACTGCAATGTTGCCAAGTTGGCGTACGGACAGTGCCACCGACGATCGGATCGGAAGCGTTGGACGACTAACATTGATCATGACAAGTCTGTTTCATTCATCAAAACATTCTGCTAGTTTCACGTCTC